CCACTTAAGAGGAGCTGAAGAAGGGCTGGCACATCTCTTTGGGATTTTCCATTCCTCCTGGCCCTTCCGGAATTGGCTGGACACCAGCTTGCCAAGGGGATCAAGGACAACACAGGGGCACCAAGGCGTCTGCCTATTGACATCTCTAAAGTGGAAAGTGGGTCCTTCCAGAAGCTCTGCTAGGAGCTCCCTCCCTCCCTCCCTCCCTTCTCCCTCCCATCCCCTCCCCCCTCAGCACACACCTTTACAGGGCTATATTCTGCAAAGACCTAAGGACTAAGACCCCTTCCAATATAGACTGGTTGAGGCAGAGCCTCACTGTGTTGGGCCTTAAGCAGTCCTCCCCACCTTAACTTCCCCAGTAGCTGAGATGGAGGTGTGTGCCCTGCATCCAAGAACTCTGTTTAATATTTAGCAAAGCAGTCTTCAGTGGACATCCTCAGCCCAGGCCACACTCCTGTACCCCAGCAGCACTCAGGGCTTCTCAGGTGGGGACTGGACATTCCCAGGAGGGTTATGTGCTGGTTAAGATTTTAAGTATTATCTCCTCATTGATGGATGACAGGTGAGAATTAGCTCAAGCAACCAATAATGTACTTTTCCAGTCCTATACTGTGGCTTTGTGATTTCGAGTAGAATATGTATCCCCATTCTTTCTTTTTACTTCTAGAGATGGGTGGTGATATAACAAGGTGAAATATAGAGTGGACATCCTGTAGCCACCAAGCAGAGCTGGTACTGTCAACACTCTTCCTTCCTTCCTTCCCTTTTCTTTTGAGACAAAATTTTGATATGTAGCCCAGGCGAGCCTTGAACTTGTGATCTTTCCACTTCCACCTCCTGAGTGATGAGATTATAGGTGTACATCACCATGTCTAGCTCGAAGTCAACACCTTTGAGTTTCTTCCTTGGACAGTGAAGCCACGTGCCCAACTTTGGTGGTACTCTCACTGTGTTTCCTCCGAGTTCCTACTCCAGATTGTTCTAAGCCTACCATGCAACTGCCCTGAAGTATCATTAGACTAGAGCCATGGTTCATTCATGCTCACCGCTGTAGAATCACTCACTGCTTAGAGAGACCAGTGTTCTCCTGTGTGCTGACAGTTATTTCCTGTCTTCTGCTGCTGGAAGATGGCATTTACTTAGTTATTTTTGCTTTTGTATGTGTGTGTATGCATGACTGTGTGTGTTTGCATATGTATAGGTACATGTGGGGATGTGTGTGTGTGTGTGCATGTGTGTATGTGTGTGCACATGTGGGGGCCTGATCACTCTGTACTTTAATTGAGGAGGGTCTTTCACTGAACCTGGAGGTCCAGCCTAGTCAACCTGCATTGCTGCTGTCTGCTACCACCTGGCCTTGATGTGGGTGCAGGGGATCCAAATTCTGGTCCTCTGGTCATCACACTTGTTGAAAAAGTGCTTTAGCCACTGAGCCATCTCCCCAGCCCCATACCATGAGCAATTTAATTCTCATCTAGTGGTTCATGCATGCAGGGCCTTCAGCACAAAACACAGATATGGTTTCATCTGTATTTATCATGAGCTTCACTTTCCTTTGCTAACGTATTTTCCAAGTATGCTTGCCCATCTAGAAGAGATGGCCAGGAATGGGGATGGTTCAAGCTCCCCAGCCGACTCCACTGTGAGGTCACAATCTACCTTTACTTTCAGCCCTTCAACTCTAGACCCTGTCACTCGGCTCTCTGTTTTAAAGAAACATCCTTAGCTCAGTCCTATCCCCTCAGGCCTCAAATGTAAAAAAGTGAGGGCCTCCCCCACCACAGCAAGGCCAAAGTGTAGGGGTAAAGAGGCAGAGCAGGATGGGGCGGGGCTAGTTAGAACCAGGGACAGAGACACATAGGTAAATTCTTAAGGTATCAGAGGGAAATTTAAGGAAACCCCAGGGCTTGGGAATCCTTCCCAGAGGCCAAGACTTCCCCGCACCTACTAACAGCTGCCCATGCTTGTCTGACAGTTGTAGATGAGTTTAATTTGGGGACTCATAGTAGTATCATGATGCATCAAGCTGAGAAGACTCTGAGGGTCTTATAGTCATGTTTCTTTAAAGTGATTACAACCAGTCTGTTTTCATCTCTAATTGAACATTAATGGCACACTAGTGAATATAGATACCTGGGTCCCAGGCCAATGACAGCACATTTTCTGGGGTGAGGCCCAGACACTAATAATCTTTGGGAAATAACCACATGGTTCTTATATAGGTATAGAACCTATTGGTTATTGGTCTGACACCTGTAACTGGCATCCATCAGAGTCACTTGGGAAGCTTGTTAAAATGCAGGTCCCTGGGCTCTTCTCTTTATGTATCTGGATTGGGACTTTACCTTAGTTTGGTTTCCTATTACTATGATAGAGTACCGAACAAAAACAATTTAGGGCAGAATTTATTTCAGCTCACAGTTCCAGGCCACAGTCCACTGATGCAGGGAAGTCACAGTGGCAGGAGCCTGAAAAGGCTGGTCACATTTCAAGAGCAGAGAGCAATGCATGCATGTATGTCAGAGCCAGCTCACTCTTTTCGTTCAGTCCAGGGCCCACCCCATGAAATAGCATTGTCCACAGTCAGGGTGTCTTCCTACTGTAATCAACTCAATTAGCCCTCAAAGGAATGTCCAAAGTCCAACTTAATCTAGACAATCCCTCACTGAAATTCCTTTCCCAGTGTGTAGATTATGTCAAGTTGACAATTAAAACCATCATAGGCCTTGAATTTGTGACTCTAACAGCCATCTCCACTGGAAATCCCTTGATCATTCTTGAGAACCATCTCACAGGTCTGAAGTTCCACTTGATGCTGCTCAAGTTCGCCTTGTGAGTCCCAAAGGAGATCCAGTGCAGTCCCGTTGTGTGGGATTACTGCTTCTCTTCCCACCTCTTATTGTCACCAAGATGGTGGCTTGAAATGGGCACTAAACTTTGGCAGATGCTCCAGATGAAGACCTTTCCCAGCACCCAATCAGTCATGATTTGTACATTCTAGGCTTTCATGGGCCAGAGGATGTGGGAGTATAGGGGGTTACTGAGAAAAATGTAGAGCATCTCTGGCTTTGAGGGACCAATGTCATTGTCAATAGGTTCTAGAATCCAAGATGCATGTAGCATCTTCATGCAACTTCCTGTACAGCCAACAAAAGAGGTACATCTGTGTGTGTAATAGAATTTAAATTATTTAACTATGTGCCCATGTGTGTGTGCACATGGAATGTGTGAAGTTTGGAGAACTATTTTCAGGAGTTGGTTCTGTCCTTTTACCCTGTGAGTCCTGAGTGCAGAACAAAGGTTATTGGGCTTGGAAGCAAATGCCTTCTTTACGCACTGAACAGCCAGCAAAAGAGGCCCCATCTGTAATTTTTTTCTTACAGGCTCCCAATATTTAAAAATATCCTGGCTATTGCTAATACAGGGTGAGAATCCTTTGTGGTGGCACACACCTTTAATCCCAGCCATTGAGAGATAGAGGCAGGCAGGTCTCTGATTTGAAAGCTAACTTGGACTATATGGCAAGTTTCAGGCCAGCCAAGGTTACATAGTAAGACTCTGTCTCAAAGAAAAAGAGGAGAATGAGAGATCGGGGGAGACAGAGACACCTGATTCAGATTTTAGAATGTTTGCATTGGAAATATTGGGCTAGGACTCATCTAAAGGCTAGATTCATATTCACTTATATAGTATGAACATGATTTTATGGAATTTTAAAAAATAATTCTGTGCAGTTCAGAGTTAAGATGTATGGAATTTTCCATCTGTGGCATTAGGTCAAGTGTTCAAAAAGTGTTGGTTTGGGGCTTGTTCTAGATTTCAGATTTTCAGGTTTAGGCATGTCCACTTGTGTAATTATTAATACTTGGAAAAACTAGATCATCACAGGACTGAAATAGAGGAAAGGATTCTGGGGACCCTCGATTCCAGGTTACCTTTTAGTCCTGGCACTTGGGGAGACTTTAGCCTAGCTAAGATGGACCGGAAGGGCTGGGCTGATCTCAGAATGACCCTGAGCTCTAGGAAAGGATTCACACCACTGCCATCGAGAAATGACCCATCGTGGTAACCACTGCAGCCCTCACCTTATGTTCATGTCTGGTGGTGTATGTCCTAAGGTTGAAACCTGTGTGCTACAGTCCAGTCCAAAGCCTGGTTCTGGTTAGAACCACGATGCACTTCACAAGCCAGGACACAGGGAACACTCAAGAATATTTTTAGGGCATTAGCAGAGGAGGGAAGTGACTAGAGGCAAAGACATTTAACAACTGAAGGTCAGAAGGGGAGATGGCTCAGTGGTAAAGTGCTTACAGTGCTGCTATGAAGACCAGGGTTTGATCCCCAGAACCCATGTAATAAACTATAGGCCACAGTGGAATTGTTCCTGTAGTCCCAGAAGATCTGTGGAGCTTTCCATGCCTTCTCCATGAGTCCCAGCAAGGTATCTGAAGATGACAGCTGAGGTTGTCCTTTGGCTTCCAAGGCACGTGCACACATGTGCACCCTTAGGCACACACACATTGAAGGTCTTTGCAGGGGGGATATAGTTCAGTGATGGAGGGCTTACTGTATGAAGCAAGCCCTGAGCTCTGGTCCCAGCACCACAAAAGTACATTATGTCATAATACATTTTTAAGAGTTCTTTCCAAAAGAATTCCACCCATCCAGGGGCTGGGTCTCCATATTTATTTGAGGATTAATTTCTCCTACAAAGTGAAATGGTGCCTAGGTAATGGACTGGGTTGAGTCTGTTACCATCTTTAGTACAACTTCCTTTAAGACTCTAACCCACACTGACCATTTTTTTCTGAACTCTAAACTGCCACGAACTGGAGGGGGGCCTGACTTCCTGGAACACAATGGACCATGTTCCTCCCAGAGGGGCCAGAACCATGGCAGGGGCTCGGTGGGGTTTGTTGTAAATGACCCTGTCCACATATGGCAGGTCTGTCTGGTTATGTAAACTGACCCTGAATCTCTCTCTCCTCTCTCTGCAGTGAAATGTAAAATGGAGGACGAGGAAGTGCCTGCTGCCCCAGTGCCGCCATCTCCTTAACTGATGTCAGTCACTCACTGCAAACCCTACCGCACATCCCTATTACAGTTTCTTTAAGAAGCCCTAGCATGGCAGATATAGAGCCCTTTGCACACGGCCAGGTTTGCTGGAGACAAGCTTAAGTACAGTTTAGGAAAACATCCCTTAGCTTCCTGCCTTACCCCAAATGCTACTTTTCGATCCACTTCTCCACCGTGTCAGGCATCCCCTTCTGAGGCACCGCAGTTGAAACGCCCAGTGATGGTGTCCCTGTCATCAGTTTTCCCACTTCTGCCAAGATCCGTATTTTGATTTATCTCAAATCTCTGTGATAGTTCTGTCTTGGTTTTCTTGTTGACTTAACAAATGAGGCAAGGCCTGAGACCTGAGCTGTGTTTCCAGCTCAAGAAGAGATCGTAGTTGCATAGGATTTCCATCGTCAAAGCCCCCAAAGTGTTAACAGCAAATGGTCATCTGTTCTGTGGCTGCTGCTCACCAGGATTCTCTCATTCGAAAGGTCCCAGACACGGCTGGAAGATTCTATGGTAATACTGGACTGTTTGACAAGCTACCACAAATCTTAGGTAAATAGTAAAGCCTTTATTTTCTTGTTAAGAACAGCATTTTGAAAATAAAACCTATCTGCCCATGCTTAACAACCTTTGCAATCTGTGATATTTATATGTACATACTGATTGTCTTGAAATTTCCAGAACAATTTTGTTTATAAGTATGCAAGTCAGCCAGGGTGGGGGATAGAGTGAGGATACATATTATAAAACACACATTAATACATTTAATAAATATATATTATCTATCAAAAAATGAGCATAGTTCTTTATGAATAAAAAGCACCTGCCAGGGGCTCTCGTCGGCTCACATGGTTGCTACATCCTTGGATGTGTAAATACCAGCACCCCCTTCTACTTTTCAACTTGGCAAACCCAAAAGACAACCCCTCTCATCCTGTCTGCACACTTGTTTGCTGGCCTTGACCTCATCTGTGTGGGGGGTAAGGAAGGCCAAGAACCAGGTCTTAACTTTGCAAACAGCTGACACATCAGAGCCGAACCCACTGCTATTGTCCGGCCACCTCGGCAAAGGACCACAGAACACTGTAGAGTTTTCACTTAGGTGGGGACAGAGGAGCTGTCTTAGTCCCAAAATGGTGTCACTACATGGGCATGCTAGGTTGTGCTTACAGCTTGGGGTTATTCCCAGAGTACTCTGTAGACCATCTCTGCTATCAACTCTTAAACAGTTGTCATGGGATTCTGTACTTCAGCCTCGTTCTTTCAGAAGCTGACTGCACAGTCTCTGTGTGGAGCTGCCTCGTGGTCCTCTTCAGATGAACTTGAACTCATTAGAAAAATAGCAGATGTCGTCCTTCTTCCTTTGCTCCCACCTCCACCCCTGTCTAAGACCATTGAGCCCACCCTGAACCTCAAATTAGCCAAGATAAAACAAAGCCCAGAAGCGCGATCACCTATCAGGATGAAAAAGGAGAAAAAAAAAAAAAAAAAAAAAAAAAAAAAAAAAAAAAAAAAGCAAAACCGAAAGGCCTCACTAAGTGAGGTTTCCGGTGGCTCAGAATGGTTCTGGTTTTTTAGTGTAGAAACACTGCTTTCTGCACAGCCATTGGCTCGGTGCTCACCTGATACGAAGACAACAAAGAGCTTAGAGAGAAAACCATCAATCATGTCAGCTTCTCCCTTCTGCAAGGGGGGGCTTTTGCAGACCAAGTCACTGGAGACATCAGAAAGCTCCAAAGGACTCCAGAGAGCGGGGGTGGGCAGCCACTTCCTGGCACAAGAATGCGGAGCGCTGATGTTTGTCACCGGACTGGCCCGAGGTGCTTGGAGATCTCTTTGCAGAAGGCTGGGTAGTGCATGCAAGAGCCCCAACCCCACACAGCCCTGCTTTCTTGCCCTCCAACCCCTCCTCAAGCTTCTAAGGTCTTAGCCCCACCACATGATGATCCTTAAGCATGAAGGACTGATTCAAATTCTCTGGAAGCAAGCGCATGCTCTGAATGGGGGCAGGGCACCCCAGAAGACTGGGAAGGGGAGGCCTTTGGGTGCCATGCTTTCTGCTTCCCATGCGTGGTGGTGATGCACTAGCTGCAAGGAAAACCTGCGGGAGAGCCAAACACTAGCCACATTGGCCTCATCTCCCTAAGGCTCGGCAAAGACAGGGTAGGGCAGGGAGGGGATACAGCAGAGACTGGGGTCTTTAGAAAAAATCGGATTTATTAAAACACTCAGCTCAGATGTACTGGCTTAAGATGAGGTCAGTCCCCACCCCCACCCCCAAATACTAACCTTTTAAATTTTGCTTTCATTAAAGGTTAAAGGCTTATGGGTAGTTTTCATAGAAAAAGCAATGTAGTGATTAGAATGTATGCAGAGGCCCCACCCTTGTTTATACAGTCCATATGGTCAGGTTCAAACTCTTAGCATAGAAAAGTTGCTAGAGATTATCCTGGCCAAACAGTGCAGAGAACATAGGGCTTTTAATGGCAGGGATGCTGGAGATGCTGAGCGACAAAGGAATGACTTGCTCAGGACAGATGGAAGCCATGACAAATGACGGCTATGAAGAGGGCCACTTTCATAGAACCATCGGAAAACCAAGATTAGGATGTTCTCTACCCGCCCCCGCAAACAGCAAGAAACCTTTATGGAACTCATTCTATACTGGACTTCTAGCCACATCAAGGGAAAATACCCCAGAAGTCTCTGGCTGCTGGACATTAGTATGTCATCTCTACATCCTAGAGGTCACCCCTGGGGAGCTCAGCCATAGGACATTGTGAAAAAGCTGTTGTAGTGCCTGCCTTTCAGCCTGACTCCCCTGAAACTTCAAGCTGGTGACCCTATCTGAGCTTCTGAAATGAACACGGGAATGAAATCAGGGAAGGGCAGGAGCAGCAAGAAGAGGGGATACTTCTATCACCCTGTAACGGAGGTGGGGTGGGTGGGGTGCTTGGTAGAGCAAGAGGCCCGTAGACAGAACAGCGGTTGGTCACCACTGTCTAAATGTGATGGTCACTTCAAGGTCCGGAGTACCTTCTCCTCTTTGGCACATTCTGTGGTTCCTCCATTCCCAGTGGCTACACAGCTCCCTGACTGCCCAGTTGGGCCTTACTTTGGAATCACAGCCACAACCTCCTAGAGTTCCCTGAATTGCATAGGCCACCAGGGCAAGCAAGCCAGGGAGAAGGGTCCATGAGTTAACCTCCAGGGCACAGTGATCTCCAAAAGACCTCCCTGGGGACCGGCACTTGGGGAGGGGGTGACAGGCTGGCTCCAACCCCTCATATAAGCCAACATTGGCTTGGCACACCAGCTGTGAATTTTTTTCTGCCCTGCTCCTGCTGGATGCAACAGTTTCCCAGCCACGCTTCTCTGAGTGAGCCTAAGACTATTGGCAGTTAGCTCTGATTTAGTTTGCAGGACGATTTTGTGTGTGTGTGTGTGTGTGTGTGTGTGTGTGTGTGGGTAGGGGAGGGCAGTCACTGTCAGCTTTCCAGTTCATCCGTATGTCACATTTACACAGAATCCCCTTGGTGGGAATTCCCAGATTTCCTGGCTTCCAGGTGGCCTGTCTTGGCCGTGGTTATGGATTTCGCCCTCAAGAAAGACACAGCCAGGGAATAAAATCGGTAAGAGAGATTCTTATTCTCTGGAACTTAAGGTCTTTCACCAATGGTGTCTTCCTGTGTGAGGTGGCGGAGCAGTTGGGATCTGGAATAACAAGGACAGTACTGAGAACTCTTCAAAGTCAACGTTAGAAATTGATGCATCAGTCTCTCTTGCTTTTACCTGTGGGGGCTAAGGGACTAAGTCACCCCAAAAATGTACCGGAGGTACCCACCCTCAGGGACATGCTCCTCACTTAGACACTCAGTGCTTTAAGGAGTGAGGAGGATGGGACTTGCCTTGGGCACACTACACAGGGGTCCTACCATTGAGCTTCACCTGAGACCCTACAGCAGCGCCCGATAAATCCTCTGTTTCCTTCTCTGCACTGGCCTTGAAGGAACCAGGAGGACTTCAGAGTGATGGACAGGCTGTGCTGATTACAGCATATGGGCTGGCCCCTTAGGGGACCAGTGGTCACAGTAAAGTCAGGCTTTCCTTGGCCCCAGGACAAATAAACAGCCCAGGAGGTGTTAGGGGGATTGAAGAACACAAATCTGTGTTTCTTTTTGTCTTACAGCCTGTTCAAAGCAAAGGGAACCAGAGCCTAGCAGAGCCTTCACAGGCCAGAAAAACCCAAATTCCCTCCTTCCAGGGATCAAAGACCATTCCTGATGGTCTATTAAAAAAGAAAAGAAAGAAAGAAAAAGAAAAAGCTCAGGTTGAATTATGGAGTTGGCACAAAATAAAGAATGGAAATCAAATGTGCACATGTGAACTGGCCCATGCACTGTTTCTAAGAAACACAGAGCTATGTCTGGAAAGTAGACGTGGGGATGAGTGCCTCTTTGGATTTTGCTGGAATGAAACAGTCATTCCAACAGAGGCAGAAAGCAAAAGGTGACACTTTCTGCTGCAGGTCTGTTTGGCGACAGATAAGTACAGCTGCTCAGGTGTTTGAGGGAAACAATTTCAATTTCCTAAGATGTCTCTTAGGGAGGTGGGGTGGGGGTTGCTGGATGGAGTAGGGCCCAGGGGGCTTAAGCTAGGGTGGATGTCAGCAAAGATGAGAACATTCCAACAGGAAGCTTTTCCTTAGAGTCACCTTCCTGGGAGAGGGGTGGGGCACTGTGCTCAAGAAAGAAAATCCACCAGGTAAAGAGCCCCAAGCAGTAGGTAGGCACCTGCAGATGGCTTTCTGAGTGTGGGTGGGTTTTCCTTATGTGAAGAAAGGTGGTAGAGGGGGCCAGAAAAATATGGAAGGCATGCATGCATGGAGCTGCAGTGGGCAGCCCAGAGAAGCAGCCTCCAGCTGAAGCTGCCCCACATTGGACACTCTCAGGCCTCCTGCCCAGATATCATGTTTTGATACTTACAGTCCCGCCATTGAGTACGACAGCCATCTCGGTCGGCTGATACACATTGCTTCTGAATGGTACGATGGATCGGCTTCCTATGCTGCTGGGGTTATTTCCCAGGTTGCTACTGGATCTTTTCCCCAAGCTTCCATTGGAAAAGCCCGCTGCTGATCGAAGAGCTGAGGAAGGGGTTTCCAAGATGGCAACACCAGAGAGAGCAGGGGGAAAAGAAGGGGAGAGAGTTGGGGGGAATGAAGGATAAGGGGTAGATGAGGGAGGAAGGGAGAGGGAGAAAGGGGGGAGGAAAAGAATTGTTTTTCTGCAACAACAGCTCCTCCCCTCTGGGCACCTCTATCCACCCACTACAGTGGCTCCTCCCCTTTGTCACAAGCCTGATGCAGAACAAAAGTCACAAAGGGGTTTTGTTCTCCAGCCTCAGGAGGGTTTGGGAACTTTGTGGAGCTCTGCTCTCCCCAAACAGCCACAGTCAGGCTGGGTGGCAGTCACCTCTAGGCTGTCAGGTTTCTTTTGCATGTGTGTGCAGGTCTGTACACACCATACCAGTCAAAAGCAGTGCATGTTTCTGGATCCTGCAGAGCTGGGGACTGCTAAAAACATACAGGACAGTGATTGCCCTCAGTGGAAAATGACCCTCAAATGACCCCCAAATAGGAATCAAATATCCAAAGTAATGATGGCAAAAGAGTTAGTACTCTATCCCTGAAGTAGGTACAGGATGTTTCTGAGTTACTGTCCTTTTTAAAGACAGCACCTAAGGTAGTCCAGGCTGGCCTCAGACTCATTCTGAAGCCAAGAATGGTCTTGAACTCCCAGTCCTCCAATGCCACATGCCAAGTGCTGGGGTCCACATCCAGTTAGTTAGTATACTCTCTCTCCCCCACCACTCTGTATGTATGTGTGCAAGTGTGCATGTGCACAGGGTGTTGGAGGTTATGAGACACCTGATGTGGGTACTGGGAAGTGGGGCTCAGATCCTCTAGAAGAGCATCGACTTTCTTAACTACACTCCAGCACACGCCTTGTTTTCTGAGGCAGTGTCTCACTGCCTAGGCTGGCTGACCAGGGACTCCCAGGGATCCACCTGTCTCCACTTCTCCAGTTCTGAGATTACAAGTAAGCATCACACACAGGTGCTAGGGATAAAGCCCAAATCTTCATGCTCGCACAGCAAACACTTTACCAGCTACGTAATCTCCCCAGCCCCAGGTTGAGGCATTTCTATGAAATTAAGCTTCCCCCTTAGAGAAAAATCAACTTGAGAAGCTGTGAAGAACCTCAGGTATGTGCTTGTGAATGAAAGGAGCCAGCCTGTGAGGGCTTCTCAACCTTGCCAATGACAAGCTGGAAAGGGAAGGCTGTTTGTGGGGATCAGGGGCTTCGTGGGGAGGAATGGATAGGAGGGCAAGAGGGACATTTCAGGATAGTGAGACCATCTGTATGATCGTCAAGGCTCACCAAATTACCCATTCTAATTAAAATATGGTATTTGGCTCAGGAATGGAGCACTTGCCTAACATCCCTGAGGCCTTAGGCTCCACACTCAGCACCCCCACAAGAGGATGGAAATTTTAACTGTAAGATGACATCTGCAGTGTCACTGCAAGTGCTCATGTTGCTTGGCTAAAGAAAGGCTTTACAGGGTGGTGGTGGCACACACCTTTAATCCCAGCACTCAGGAGGCAGGGGGCAGGCGTAACTCTGTGAGTTCGAGGCCAGCTGGTCTACAGAGAGAGTTCCAGGACAGGCTCCAAAGCTACAGAGAAACCCTGTCTCAAACAAACAAACAAACAAACAAAAAAGAAAGAAAGGCTTTACTTAAAAGTCTTCCCTGAGGAAATGCAGGAAGACAGCTTGGGAGATATGTAACCTATTTAGGGCAGGAATCATAAGTACCTTAGAGCCAAATGCTATGAAAAGTGACATATAGAGGGCCAGTTTTCATAGCACAGCAGATGCTATGATTCCCTTTACAACAGTTAAGGATTAAGTACCATGGCCAAGGTCACACAGCTGGCAGAGCTCACACTGAAAGCCTGGTAGAGACAGGGTGCTCCTAACCATGACACTAGCTCCAAATGCTCTGTTAACCATCACAGTCAAATCAAGCAAGCTGTATTAAGTGACATTAGGGATAGCTCATCCTAACCTAGACCAAAGAACATGAGTCCAAGATAGACTCAGGAAACCTTTCTTGCTTCAGCACCTCTAAGGCTTGAGCAGTTGTTGCTTATGCTGAGGGTATGTCCCTGCCTGGGGAGCAGCACAGGGACAGCTAAACACAAACTTTTGCCAGTGTCAGTTCCTATTCCATGAAAGTGAAGAGTAGCACTTCCCTTGCGGTGCAGAGCCCAGTCTAGGTGAGGGCTCCACTTCTTCAGAGAAACCAAAACTCCAGTCTCTCACTACCCATGGTCCCTATGTTCCTCCCTGTGCAAGCTCTCAGTGGTTTTATGAGCACATCTTTGGCATTCTAGGTCCCTTAGAATGGGCTCCAGGGTTTGTGACAGGCCTGATCAATCATGGAATTGCATCTTTGAGAACACATTGGTTCAGGGAAGGGCGTTCAGAGCCAATCAGAAATAACTCTGGGATTTTCTCAAGCTTTCTGGAAAGAATTTTTTCCCCTTGGGACTCTGGGCAAGCTACTGGGGACAGTGATGCCTCCATCAAGAGATGGGGAGGAGTTGAGTTTAGTCATTACTTCAGTTGAATCTAGCCCTCCTGAAGCCTGCTATCTCAGGCATTTGGGATTTTCAGTTATTTGTATGAATAATTTAGCATTCAAATTCTATTTTAAAAAAAACCGTTAGTAACTAATCTCAGAGACCTTTGACTATTATCAGAGCTGACCCTGTTCAACTCACAGCAGAGGTGAAGGACAGGCAGTGTTATCCCTAAGTGGGTACCCGGAGGTATAAAGTCATTCATTGGTCAAATGCTAACTTTTGCTGGTGTAGGCCCTGCAAATGAGGCCAGGTTAGCTGTGCCTTCCCCCATGCTTCACTCAGGCTCTACAGCAGTAAACAAAATCTCTAAGTAGCCTTTGGCTTCAATAAGACCTTAGAGCCCAGGGTCCCTAACAAAAGGGAACACATGTTCCTTTGAAAGGTGCCTGTTTCGTATGCCTTGTTAGCACTTTCTAAGATGTGATCTGAGGTGTGACATCTCCCAGTGTATTTGAGTCTCTTAGCACTTACTTCATGCCTTACTGGTACTAATGAGCACACTAAGTGTATCTATGTGGGGGTCTCACTGATGAAAAGAATTATTGAGGGCAAGACCACTATAGCTTCCAGAGCTGCAGTACAGCCTGGAGAACACACCTTCCATCTCATGACACCTTGGGGGACCAACAGTCAAGCAAGGAGAGCCCAAGAGTCTGGCTGGAAGTTCCCAGTGCAGGAGGACATAGTCATTGCAGCTTCTGGGCACCAGCCACTCCAAGGATAAGGCCCCTCATGGCACCGGGTTCCTAAAATACAAACTGGCTGAAGTCTGCATGAAAGGTGCCAATAGATGCTCCTACTGTGGCAAAGGAGCATGCCCAGATGGTCCTTGGCCAGCAAAGCATGAGTTTCTAGAATAAAGGCCAGCCCAGTCAGGGTATGCTCTGTGTGAGTTTTGTCTGAGGACTGCCCTGCCTGGCCTCAAGTAATTTTGGTGTATCTATATTTTTGATAGTCTAAAAGATACCTTAAAAAGGGGGGACAGGTAATAAGGGTTGCTAGGGATGGAGCTCATTGACCCAGCATGCACCAGGCTCCAGGTTCCATCTTCAGCACTATGAGCAAGCAAACAAGAACCTCTTGTCTTTAAAAAAAAAAGTCTGACAACACCCAAGGTTGCTGAAGATTTAGGGAGGGACTTGCAGTACAACCATAGAGTGGGCACTCAGCCTGCCTTTCTGGGGTACCATCAGGCATGGAGTGGCAAGATTTAATAATGCAGATTATTTAACTCATATCTAGGACATCTTTTGCAAGGAGCTAGTGGACCAAAAAGCAGAAAGATGAATGGATAAGAGTGCTTACTGCAGCACTGTTTATCACGGGGATCCTGAGGTGGACAGAGCAGCCAGAGGAGGAAGGTCCAGAAAATAAACACTGGTGCCCAATGGAAAATTCCACAGCATTCCCAGGGTATGGGAATCTTCATCAACTGACTCCAGAAAGGCCTCCATCACATGGACTTAAAGCACATGCCAGGCCAGCTCTTGGACCTGAGGTTTCCACACAGTGACACCTTAGGATCACTTGGAGAGCTTAAAAATTATACAGACCCCAGACTCAGACTTGATCAGGGAGTCTGGGGGGGGGCAGAGCAGCTGTTTTTCATTAGTAGCCCAAGTGATTCTAATGGGTAGATAGGAGAAGGACCACCACCTTAGTGAGGCTCTGCTTTGTTTTTGTTCTGGAGACAGGGTAGCACCAAGCCTCTTCACACCTCAGTTTCCAAGCAGATCTCATGGGCTATTGTATGAATTAGAGCAGCCAATAAAATGCTCAGGATAGCACTTGGTGTATGTTTGTTTGGTTACTATTTGCATTTTTGTTTGTTTTGTGGGGGGTTGTGTGTCTTGGTGTGTATCCCAGGTTAGCTTTGGACTCACAGCCCTCCTGCCTCCCCTCTCTCTGTGAGTTGTGGGAAAACAGGGATGTGCTGTCACATCTGACTATTGTTACTTTTAAAGGTATTTCTGACCTTCCAGTTTTACTACAAGGAAATAGAACATTCCATTCAACCACTGGTTCTTAACCAGCTTCCCCTCCCTGTAGAGGGGTGCGCAAGGTAGTTTTAGAATCAGACAGGAGACATACAGCATGCGATCACTTCCATTTGTTCCCTATACTTCCAAGGTTCAAGGGGAGTCAAGGGCCTCAGAAAGGCCCCTCCAGGAGAAGCTGGCAAGAACAGGTGGTGCTGCCAGCATGCTAGGACTAGCCAGGTCCCTCTTCTGTCACCAGAGCCCCTTGAAGAGGCCTCTAGGTTTCCAAAGGTGACCTCTAGCATGGCTCTACCTTCTCCTGTCCCTCAGCTGGACTGACACTGAATCCCTCCCAACATCTCCACAGACACAGGCATCTACCTGACCTGAACTTTATGTAAGAAGAAAGCAGCTTGGATTACAGCCACACTGGGACTTTCCCATTTATTCTGAGTGGGGCTGTTGGCACCCCTCCTGCATATGCATCTGGCCAGGGTCAGGGGTGCAGAGGAAGCCGACCACATGTAGGTATGACAAGGATATGGGTGGCTCTATAGGAAGTGAGGGCTCAACTTGCTTCCCTGCTTACAGGGGAGGAGCAAGCTGTAACCCGGGTCTTCCACACTTAACCTTGCAAGTCTGTGTAAAGGGACCAGATCCTGAGCACCGCTCACACTTGTACCTGGCAACTGGGCAGATGTTGCTAAAGAGAAATAATGCTAAATGTCAATCTGTCATGGGCTACTGTCTGTCCTCAGGAAATGCCATTCTTTTGAGTCTCAGCTCACACCTATTCATCATGAAGGTGATACAAGGGGTCTAACTTCACAGGGAAACACTGAAGACTGATGAGATAGTGCAGGCTGGAGGCAGAATAGTGCCAGTACAGAGTTAGTGCTCAACACATGACCATGTCAGGTGATCAATGCCTCACCAGGACTGGGATTCAGTATTACTGATGGGCCCCTGAGGCATCTTTGGGAAGTTGAGAAAGGTCATTTATTTAAGCTCCGGTGTGGGGCCCAGCCAGCTTTCTTTAAGCAATATCCTAAGGGGCACCTAGCATCAAGAGCAAGGCCCTTGGGGTACTGGTGACCACATCTCTCTCCATCCTACTGTGACCTCACCCCTGAGCAGAAACAGGTAGTCTTGGCCACCCAGATGTCACCCCCAGTTGCCACATTTGCTTTCTCTGTCTGACCCCAGAGAAGCTTGTGAACAGTTAGTCAAGTAATAGGGATGTTGGTGATGGAAGAGGGACGTTAAGAGTGGATGGGTGCCAAGCCTTCTGTCCTGGTAAGCCAGTTCTGGGGCCCATTCTACATACGTCCTCAGAGGGACTCTGCAGGACTGAGCTTGGCAGAGACAAGCCTATAAATGCAACTATTTTGGCAACCTGCCTCTGTGCTCTCCTTTCAGAGGCCACCACTAAAGTAACCCCTATCCCAAGGTGTCTCAGACTCCACTTGATTTTTTTTTTCAAGACAGGGTTTCTCTGTGTAACCCTGACTGTCCTGGAACTCACTCTGTGGCCTCAAACTCACAGCAATCCGCCTGCCTCTGCTTCTTCAGTGCTGGGATTAAAGGTGTGTGTCAACAATGCCCGGCCATCCTCCACTTTCAATAGACTTCAGCCAAGGCCCATAAGCTCCATGCTGGGTGCCATCCATGCTCAGTGCCACCGGGGTCTAGTCCCCATTGTGTTACTTTCTGTAACACCTCTGCACAGTGTACCCTCCCGTTACTTTCGTTTTACAAATTTGAAAAACTGCAGCTCGGAGAGGTCGTGTAATCTACAGAAAATAGCACAGCTGGAAGTGGGAGAGGCAGGGTTTGAACCTGGACATTTGACTTTGGGATCCAATTGGAACACTGCTGATGATTGGGGTGGAGGAAGGCAAGAGCACCGTCATGGTCTGCATCCATCTAGCACATGGCATAGGCTGCAAACTCAAATGCCTACAGGGAGCTAGCGAACTAATGTTGGGGAATCAGCAGGGAGTGGTAGAGTGTGTGGCAAACAGAAGGTATATTTCTAGAGAAGGGCAGTCAAAAGTGTGTGGGGAGGCAAGAGGCCTGGCTTCCCAGTGCCCACTGACTCATGTGAGATCCAAAAAACCTGTAGCCATGTAGGAAGGCAGGTTCAGCATTGTTGGACCTAGTAGAGATTTTTTTTTTAATTGGGGGGGTGGTGTTGCTGGGGACAAACCCAGGGCCTATGCATGTGGGCAAATACTCTATCATGGAGCTTCCCACAACTTTTAAAAGCCAAGAAACTGGATGATTGTTGGGGTAGTGGTAAATTGTGTGTGTGTGTGCATACATATGTAGGAAGGTCAACCCCAGGTATTGTTTCTTAGAAACCATCTCTTGTTTTTGGAAAGACTAGGGTCTAGGGCTCACAGATCAGTTTTACCTGCCTTGAGGTCTGCCTGCTTCTACCTCTGCAACACTGGAATTACAATAAGCCATGCTATCACACCTGGCTTTTCTCTGGGTTCTAGAGAGTGAACACAATGCTCTTGCTCACCCTGACAACACCATCCCCTTGCATTTTTATAACAAATCTGTTGGCAATTGGCATGAAGAAAAGAATAAGGAGCCAGTGTTAGCATGGGGCCATTCATAATTGTTGAGTCTGTTACTGGGTCTGGGAGTATCTGCCCCAGCTGAGGCCTTTCAGGGACTGCCCCAAGCCCGGCAGTGGCCATTTTACCTGCATTATGTTCATCCATTGAGAAAGCCTTGTTCTCCATGTAGGCCCGAGGCAGGTGCATATCCTCCTCAAACACTGTCTCCCGCATCCTGGGCTGTGAAGTATCGAAGTAGTTGGGTGGGTTCTCCTGCAAGGGTGGGAGAAGGGTGCAGTGGATCTCTGGAATGGCGTGGAAGACGACAAAAACCCAGCCACTGGCTACCAGTGTAATGGCCAAGGTGGGGTCGCTCCAGGAATCTCCCTGCTTAATCATCGAGTTGCCGAAGAGGTACATGGTCATCCACACCGCCCAGATGATCACAGAGAGGAAGGTAGTGATGAGGATGAAGGCTCCATTCAGTTTCCACCGCCTGAACTTGCCACATAGCGTGAAGAGGGACTGCGCCAGGGTGATGGCCAGCAGCACCATGTCATAGATGAGTGCCATCACAAAATCCATGGGCTCGTAGGCGCAGGCTGGCTTCGTGTCACGCAGCACGGTCAGCACCAGCCACTCGGTGGCAATGATGACCTGCACCAGCATCAGGCACAGTGCCAGGCTCACCAGCTGCCAGCCGGCTGGGCTTGTGCCCTGGCGCACCAGCCTCCGCACCCGCCATGCCTGGCTTAACAGACAGGAAAAGCAGAGCGCGAAGAGGACACCCCAGAGGAAGCGTCGGATGGAGCAGATTGTCTCGTCCATCCGGATGATGAAGGCAAACGTCAGCCCAAAGAGGCCAAGGGTCCCCAGCAGGAAGAGGAAGTGGAGGCACACAGGCCTCCTCTTTTCCTTGTCCTTGATGAAGGGCAGTCTCACCAAGAGGATGAGCATCAGGAGCAGTGTGATCAGGGCCCCAGCCCCGGCCACTGCCTCCACCACGATGCCCCAGACGGCGTCCAGGTCGCACAGGGACACGTACTGAGGAAGAAGGTCCAAGCCACAGCCCCGGGATGTGCTGGCGTTCTCGGAAGCCACTGAGGCAATCAGCAGGAGCAGGGGCAAGGGGAACACTTGATGGGTTCTCATCTTTCTCTCTGACACCAGGAACGTTCTAGAAAATGGGGACAATTAGGGAGAAAGATGATTCCATTGTAAGGCCCTACTTTCCTGATTTCCTGAGGACTCTTTTCAAACCTGGTATCCCTCGAGGATCCTTCAGGCCCTTGAGATAATAGCATTGACTTTCTCCAGGCACTGTGGTCCCTTCCCTAGGCACTCTGCCACCCACTTGAACCCTGACCCAGATTAGTAACCATAAGCTACCATCAGCAGAGGCTGGAGGACCAATGGGAAGGAGACTCACCTTATCTCTCTACCCCTTTGTAGTCTGTAAACCTGGCCTTTTCCAAAGTAAGGGAATGAGAAACGTTTTAAAGGGATAGCCACCAGCCAGATGCTCAGCTGGGGTGACACCCCTTGTCTCCTCCTTTAACTCTCAAAGGCTAATGGGGAATATTTACAGACTACTCACTCTAGACCAAAACCTGGGCTCAGCCAGTCCTCATAATGCCCCATGAGCAGCAGGTCCTATTGTGACCTCCATTTTCAGGTGACAAAACAGGGTCTTCAGGCTGTGACACTCACCCCAGGTCACACAACCACACTGAGAGGAAGCCATCCCTCTCAGCAAAGGGAGTAACCTCCCCCTCTCTGCCTTACACATGTGATACATTCTGTGGTCCCAGCTAAGTCTGCTGCAACCATAGATTCAACCAAGCTCGGATAAAGACTATTGGAGAAAAAGATTCCATCTGTCCTGGACCCATGCAGACATTTTCCTGTTGTTGCCTAAACATTACATAACAAGGGTTGACTTTGTATTAGGTATTGTAAGTGACCTAAAATCCATGGGGCACAGGCACAGGCTATGTGCAAATACTGTGCCTTTCATAGAAGGGCCTGGATGCTGGCACCAGGGTTGTTGGCATCCAAGGGAACCCTGGAGCATTTCCTGTGGATGTGCCTATACATCCAGAAGGAGCTTTTCCATGCTGTCTCCCCAACACATCCCATCATACCACTCCAGAGATCTCTTGAGGCTCCATTCTCTCCAGTGCACCTGTTGTCCCTGTCCTGGGAGGCCCGAGAGTTCACCTTGCCATACTCTCTTCTGTGTGCTCTAGATGAGCAATGACATCCTGACTCAGTCTCCTCTTCCCCTGCTAGGACACACCCCTATTATTTTAATTTGCCTTTTCTACTTGAACCTAGCATCGCACGCATGCTATGCAGCTGCTGGGCTGCATCCCTGACCCCTTTACATTTTCTTTTTTTCATTTTAATTTTGAGGTAGAGTTATACTACCTTACTCTGGCTGGCCTTGAGCTCTCCACAGCCCAGGCAGGTGACCTTCCTGCCTCAGCCTCTTGAGCAGCAGGATGTGTAGGACAGTGTCACCAGGCCTGGCCCTGCAGAAATGCTTCACCTCCCACCCCAGCCCAGCTCATCTGCACAGCTATCAGCTCAGACTCCGCCAAGGTCAATGCAGCTCCCACAGGCAGGGTCTTGTGAGCTGAGTTCTAATCAAGTCTGCCATTTTTTTTTTTGCCTACTTTGTTTCTTTTCTTCTTCCCTTTCTCCTCTCCTCCTTTTTTTTGTGTGGGGCTGATTTTGTGTGGGGCTGCTGGCAGAGAGGCAGAGATAGTATCTTTTACTGACAAGTAGACCAACCTTAAGTCACATCTGCCACTGTAGGATGTGTCTCACCAACCCTGCTTCTAAACACTGCCAAGTAGCTCCTGGGTGATGGGCACAACCTCCCCCCCACACACCAAAGGATTGCCGGTGAAGATGCCATTATATTGGCGGTGTGTTAGCACACAGTGCCTAGCACAAGTCAGGCACTTAGGAAATCCCCACAGAACAAGAGATTTGTACTCACACTGCCCTTTATCCCATCGACACCAGCTCCTTGCTTTGGAAAGAGTCTGAACCTTCAAGAAGCCATAGTCTGCAAGCTGTGCCCCAGGCTCATTACTACTCAAATTAAGTTAGTTTCGGGTTTTAATTCCAACTATGTTATGTGTAGGTCTGTAACCAGCAATCCTCCCCACACCACAACACCAGGCATCCCTGGGGTTTCCGTTAAGTAAATGCAGTACTGACTACCTCTCTCTCCTCCTCTCCTTTACAGAGATCCCTTGTGCATCTTGGGTCCCTTCTTGGCCTCCAGACTATTGACTGCAAAAATAATTGATGTTGTAGACAGTAGCTGGTGGGTTGGGGTGGTCTGCTATGATTACACAGAGAAGGCATGCTACAAGCAGAAGGTACTTAACCGAGACCCCCCCCCCACTCAGGTAAATATGGGGATGGGGATACACCCCAGATATTGACCATTGCCTTGTAGTCTAGTTATAATAGTGCCATGGAGGCTCCATCATGGATTCCCTGTGCAGTCATTTAACTATGTCCTGTCCACTGACCACATGAACCCCAACAAATTAAAATACTTTTCTCTTGATGCTTCGAAACTGTGCTGGGCTGCTCAGTTGGTAAAGGTGCTTGCTGCCAATGCTGCCAAGCCTGACAACCCTAGATCCCTGGGACCCATGAGGTAGAAAGAAAGAACCAGCCTCACAAGCTTTGTGTGCATGCTGCACATGAGTACACCCAAGGAACATGGCTACATGGTGCATTTTGGAGAGACGTCATTCTGAACAGAACCACTTCTCAAGGCCGGGGAACATACTGTAAACCAAAATTTAAGAACTAGATGGGACAGAGCAAGCTGCCATTGGCCCACAGGTGGAGGGTCTCCAGAGTGCATTTCCTTTTTAAGAGTCATCAGTGGAAGAACCCTATTAGAAGAGTTCTCAGCAACACATCCCAGGCAATCTCTCTAGTTTATAGCCAATCTCATCTTCCCTTGAGAGTGAGGAAATGATGTTTGGGAAGATGCTTCTGGAGGCTGGATCAATGCCCCTCCTCTGCCATCTCTCACCTATACACCCTTTGACAGATGGTTCTCAACCAGGGGCAATTTTGGATGTCACAACAATGGGCATCCATTGAATAGAGACCAGGCCTACAATGTGAATAGCAGCCTCCACCAAACAGAATGATGCTGGCCAAAAAGTCCATGGTACCAAAGCTGAGGAAGTGGAGTTTTAGACATCAAAGTTAGAACTAGTGAGGGACACCAGGTAACCCGTCAGCTCTCGTGCCTACACCTCACCAGCCTTGCTTCCAAGAACTTGGCTTTTTTCAGGCATGTCCAGCCACTCTCTCTGGCAAAGCTCCTCCTTCCAAGCCTGGCTGTAACACGAGACTTGGTTTCCTCAGTTGTTCTTGCTTGTTTTCTATGTCTACCCCAACCTGAACGGACAACACCAAGATGGCACCCACACTTCCTTAAACTGTGCAGTGTTCTTGCAGTACCTGGCCAGAACTCTAGTCTCTCCTTCCTTTCTGACACAGGAAATGGACCCTCTCATGCTCTCTGCTTTCATGCCCACAGGTAATGCCTTTTTCTCCTTTAAGGGTAGCTATGGGTTTTGTCACAGCAGCTGTTTGTCTCATTTCTGGAAAGAGTTCCCAATTTCCTTTGCTTGGGTGGGTGGGTGGGGTCTGACATGAGTTAAGTGGGAAATGTTCCCAGCTGGTGGAGCTATTTTAAAGAGCAAGGGCTCTTTAAGAGGTGGGGCTTGGTGAGTGGAAGTAGGTACTTTTGATAGTTAATAGCCTGGCTTTTAGCTGAGTCTTGGTCTATGGCCATGAGAACTGATGCCATACACTTCCACTGCTATGCCCTCCCTGCCACGATGAAGTGAAGTCTCAAAAACCACGAAGCAAAATGCTCCTTTCATCTTTGTTTTGATCAGTTATTTTTTGTCAAGAAATGTAGCTGTGATGGTTAATGTCAGCTTGATAGACTCTAGACTCACTCAGGAGACAAGCCCCTGGATATGACCATGAGGACTTACCCAGGAGACAAGCCCCGGGATACCACTATGAGGGATTATCTGGGAAAGGTTAACTGCTCTGTGTAGACCCACACTAACAGGAGCCCACACTGTTCAGTAGGCTGGAATCCTAGACTGCATAAGGAGACAGTGACCTGAGTGAGCATTCATCTCCCTCTGCTTCCTGACTGTGGATTCAGTGTCAGCAGCTGCCTCAAAATCCTCTAGCCTTGACTGCTCTGCCTTGATGGACTGTGTACCCTCTAACTGTGACCTGAGGTGAATAAACCCTTTCTCCTCTTAAGTTCTTTTCTTCAGGGTCTAGTCTCACAGCAGCAGCAGAAAAAGTACATAAAACTGTAGCTAAGGCAGCACTAGCTCAGCACTGAAGAAGAGAGCCGAATTGTCTCAAGCTGGTCAATATTGGCCCTATGGATGACTCTGGGGTGTGGTCACTCAATTCCACAGAACTATGTATAGGATGAGGGGAAGGCCACTGGTTCATCTAAGATTTCCAGAGGGTCCTATTTCTGTCATATTGACAACCACAGTAACTGCTCACCAGGCTCCGTGACACATTATAATAACATCCAAGAATCTGCCAAGGGAGCTAGATAGTGTGGTACAGACCTGTAAACCTGGCATTCGGGAGGCTGGGGCTAGAGAAGCATAGTAACTTCTAGTCCAGCCTGAGCTACCTATCACTGGGAAACCTTAACTCAAAAACCAAATAAACGGAATCTACAGAATAATACTAGAGGGAGTGCTAAGGCTGTATCCATTTCACAGGAGATAATGCTGTGCAGTACAGGGAGAGGAGCTGCTTGGCCAAGGTCACATGCTGCCAGAAGAGCGGAGCCTGAGGCAAACAAGGTGTTATTGTTGCTGGGCTTTCTATAGACCAGAACTTGTAGAAAAGTCACTGGTGACTTTTGCTGGATGACTTATCTCCAAGGGGTCCTCCCTGCCCCCCACTCCATACTCTGTTGTATGGGTCACGTGTGTGTGTGGGGTGTGTGTGTGTGTGTGTGTGTGTATACTGTTGTCCTCTCCCAAGCAGACACCCTGGCCTAGGGTTGACTTTGGGCATCTTCCTCTGTCACTGCCCACATTTTTTGAGATGGGGCCTCTCACTGA